ACGAACCCGTGTTCCCTGCATCGGCAGGCGGACTCTCAACCACTGCGCCACCAGGAAAGCCCAGAACTGGTTTTTATTATATACTAAGTTCTGGTAAATACTGGGTTTGTTTCTAGCCTCCCTTCTGGTCCATCCTGTCCTAGGGCTGCACTGCAAGTGGAGGGCGGAACCATGACCCCCCCGCACCTTCGTGAAGGCAGGCTTTTCACACTGTACGGGATTGGTAACAACCTGGGGGATGGGAGTGTGTCCACAGGTCAGTCCTCCGAGTCGCTGGGGCCCATGTACTGGCAGATGGCATCATAGTGAAGCTCCACCACCTGATTCTCTCTCTGCAGCTGCACAACAGCCCGGGTCTGCCCTCTGTCCCGGTCCAGCAGACGGCCCACCTAGAGTAGGGGGGTGGAGTCAGCAAGGCCAACCCAGACTCAGGGACATTCCCTGAGTGCTCCCGCACCCATTCCCAGGTCTTGGACTCACCCTTCCAGCCCATGGCCCCAGCACCACCATCACCCGGTTGCCCTGGACCTTAGGGACCAGGGTCTCCAGCATGTCTTCCCTCAGGCCTGTGGACAAGGAGAGGGGAGTGAGGCCCACAGCAAGGGTCAGCCCAGTCAGGGTCCTGTCAGAAGGGCCTTTCCTGTATTCTCTGGTGCCACTCTGTGCCTGTTGACAGATGCGAGGCCCCCACATCCATTTCACAGAGGAGGAAACCTAAGGAGCGGTTCCTGGCAATAGTTGTAATAAAGGGAGCATTTATGTATGATGATGATGGGTGGGGGTGCTAACAGATACCATTTATTGTGGGCACGTTGTATGCCCTGCCCTGCACGGGGAGCTTACACACATCCCTACAAGGCACCAGTTATAAGAGGGAGAAATAGGTTATCTCCATGCTAATTTTGCAGAAGAGGAAAGTGGGGCTCAGATATTCACCATAATGGAAGCGTCTAATGATCTGTTAGAGGATGCTGGGCCTTGCAAAAAACCTAACTCTGTCCAACCTCCCGCCTTTGGCCAGGCTCTTGGCCCAAGACAGCCCTCTCAATCAGCCTCCAGGATGATAACGACCCAATGGCCATCCCTCAGACTCACCTTCCAGGACCTGGCCTTCATCTGTCCGACACACACAGGTATCTGGGCTCAGGACATCTTCGATTGTCATCTGGGGAAAGGGCCAGGGGATATGAGAATGTTAGAGAGCTAAGTGGGCCCAGTCCCTGGGGAGGAAGCGGACCCAGGTGCGGGGCTCCCACCTTGGTGTTGTAATACTGGCCACCCTTGTGCAGCTTGTCCACAAACCGCACACGTAGGTCCCTGTGCAGCCAGTGCTGACTCCTGGGAGCTGCTTTCTCACTCTTGGCTGCAGGCTCATCCTGTCTGTGGAGCGGGGCCAACACCAGGCTTAGTTCTTTATCAGAGGCACATTCTGGTCATCCCACCTTTGCCGATGTCTTAAAACCCACTCATAATGCCATTCCTACTTCCTTCTAGGCACGTGCCTTGCCCTAGAAGCCTTCTCTGACTGCTGGAGCCTCCCCACAGCCCTGACCCCTACCTCCATCTGAGATGCTCAGGGTCACACCGGTCTGGATGGTGTTTCCGCTTCCTCGCTGAGTCCTCCTGCCGGACGTGGAGGTCCTGATCCTGAAGGGCCTTCCATGACGAGGTTGTTCCATTCTGTTGCCTTGGGGAAGTTTTGCTCACCTGGCCTGTTCAAGGGGGTGTGGGGAGAACCAGGAAACAACCTCAATGTCTCCCTCTCTTCCCTTCCAGGCCACACCTCAGCCTCAGGCCACCTCCCAACTGCCAAAGTGCCCGTCTCACCAAGCCTTTGTCTGGGCTATTAGAATGCTCTCCCCTTCCTTTCAACTGTCTCAGCCTTCTTCAGGAAGCCTTGCTCAACCACCCCAGCCCATCCTGTCAGTGCTTACCTGAGTCAGCTGCCTAGTGCGGGCTAGGGACTCCTGGAGGGCTGTCGGCTCCCATCTCCTATGTGCCAAACGCATCCATCCTACTGACGTGCCTAGAATGCCTTCCTCCCCATCATGCCCTACTGCTAGCTGCTGTCAGTCCCTAGCAAAAGAGAGGTTCACCACCCCAAAGAGACAAAGACATCCCGATGGTAGGAACTGGTTTCCACACTTGTTCCTTCTTCCTCAGAAAGAGGCTAAAGACCCAAGGGTACTAGGTCAACCTCTCTTCAGTCAAACTGAATAAACCACTACGTTCATTCTCACCTCTTAACTCTGACCAGAAGTCACTCTTGCCAGGCAGACCACTGTCCTGCCCCTCTGCAGATTTAACCCCCCGCCCCAGGAATACTTCTCCAACTCCCCCAGCTAGGTTAAGAGGCTCACTCACTCAGATCCAAGGAGTTCTTGTCAAATTC